CCACCACGCCCGGCTAATTTTTTTTGGTTTTTTAGCAGAGACGGGGTTTCACCGTGTTAGCCAGGATGGTCTTGATCTCCTGACCTCGTGATCCGCCCGCCTCGGCCTCCCAAAGTGCTGAGGTTACAGGTGTGAACCACCACACCTGGTCCCACCTCATCCTCTTGAGTATCTGGGAACTACAGGCGTGCACCACTGCACTAAGCTAAATGTTTTATATATATATATACACACAGATGTGGGTCTTGCTATGTTGCCTAGGCTGATCTCAAACTCCTGGGCTCAAGTGATCCTCCCACTCAGCCTCCCAAAGCCTTGGGATTATAGGTGAGAGCCACTGCACCTGGCTCTCTCCGTCTTCTTCCCAATCCCATCAGATAGATGCTATTATCTCCAGGGAAACTGAGGTGTAACCCAGAGAGCTCACCCTCAGCCCCACCTCAGCTACTAATAGCTTAGTAGTGATCTGAACTCAGGCCAGGCGCGGTGCCTTACGCCTGTAATCTCAGCACTTTGGGAGGCCAAGGCAGGCAGGTCACTTGAGGTCAGGAGTTCGAGACCCGCCTGGCCAACATGGTAAAACCCTCTCTCTATTAAAAATACAAAAAATAGCTGGGTGTGGTGGCACACGCCTGTAATCCCAGCTACTCAGGAGCCTGAGGCACAAGAATCACTTAGCCTGGGATGCAGAGGTTGCAGTGAACCAAGATCAGGCCACTGCACTCCAGCCTGGACAACAGAGTGAGACTCTGTATCGTCTCAAAAAAAAAATAAAAAAATAAAAAATAAAAAAAAATAAAAAAATAAGAGTCAAGTTCTCTCCATGGTGCTCATAACCACCTCATTTTAAGGTCGCAATGCCTGTTTTGGAATATCATACAGGATACATATGTTGGGAAAGTATCAAAGATGTGTTGACAACGGAATACAGCTAAATATTGACACCATCTACGTCAAGGGTCGGCGCACCATGGTCTGTGAGCCATGTTCGGCCCACTGTCTCTTTTTGTAAATAAAGTTTTATTGGAACATAACCACACTCATTTATTTACATGTCACCTATGACAGTAATGGCAGCATTGAGAAGTTGGGACAGAGACTATGTCTGGCCATAATTATGAAAAAATATACATATGTATATATTTTTTAAGACAGAGTCTCACCCTGTCGTTCAGGCTGGAGTGCAGTGGTGCAATCTCGGCTCACTGCAACCTCCGCCTCCCAGGTTCAAGCGATTCTCCTGCCTCAGCCTCCCCAGTAGCTGGGATTACAGGTGTGAGCCACCATACCTGGCTAATGTTTTGTATCTTTAGTACAGATGGAGTTTCACCGTGTTGGCCAGGCTGGTCTTGAACTCCTGACCTCGTGATCTGCCCGCCTCGGCCTCCCAAAGTGCTGGGATTACAGGTGTGAGCCACCTCACCCAGCAAAAATATTGTCTGGTCTTTTATAAAGAACAGTTTGCTGACCTCTGTCCTATGTGAATTAAAAAGGAAAATCAGATCACAGAATATTCAGTATCATGTTCATGGATCCGTGGATATGTGTGCAACAGTGGAAAACAGAGGCCAGGCATGGTGGCTCATGCCTGTAATCCCAGCACTTTGGGAGGCCAAGGCAGGCAGATCACTTGAGGCCAGGAGTTCGAGACCAGCCTGGCCCACATGGTGAAACCCCGTCTCTATTAAAAATACAAAAATTAGCCGGATGTGGCGGCACACAGCTGTAATCCCAGCTACACAGGAGGCTGAAGTAGGAGAATTGCTTGAACCTAGGAGGTGGAGGTTGCAGTGAGCCAAGATCGCGCCACTTCACTCCAGCCTGGG